TCACTTTATGGGTTAGATCATGACCTGAAAAAGTTAGAAACTGTAAAGAAACTAATATATATATATATATATATATATATATATATATATATATATATATATATATATATATATATACATACATACATACATACATACATATATACATACATACATACATACATATATATATATATATATATATATATATATATATATATATATGGCATATAAGGAACACTAAGTAGAAACTGTAAACCATGGCATATAACTGTAAAGTTATATACAATACTAGTTCCACTTAGGCAGATAGTTTTTATTATTAAAAATAAAAACAATGCAGTTATACATCAACCACAGAATTATTATTCACCCAATTAAATTGTCTCTTGACTTATGATAGTTAAACCACACATAATCCGACCATTCGGCTTATATATTTGGAAAAATATATCATGTCACTTTATATGACACTTGAACAGTATAATGTTCCTTGTCACATAATAATTTTAATTAATCATGAGACTATTAATTTTCTAATCGGACAATAAAATTCAATTTATTAATACATCACTTTACAACTTTGCAACTATGGATTCTAGTCATTAAATGAAATATATCCAAATATGTAAATTGTTCTTTGATGTATTTAAGGCTTCTTCAATTCATATTTTACACAATTGATGTCTTAGGGTCCGAACACGAGACCTTCAAAATAATATATTTCATCATATTTTCAACAGGGAGTACTACGTATAAAAGCATTTTTATACACTTATTTTATACAGAATAATTGGTAGGGTATTATTCACTCCGTATCAATTAACATTTTCATCTATGAATAAAAACAACTTTAATGAAAACACAAGTATACTTGCTTGTAAATGATACTCCGTATTAAGAATTGAGATTGAACTCGGCCCTTCCCGTGGTCATTTATTTAATTTGTACATACTCATGTGTAAAAGGACAATAGAAGAGCTTAGTATAAAAAGACCAATCATTATTTCTTACCGGCCTTTTTCATCCTCATAACAAGACAAATTGTAGCTTAACAGGATTAGCAAGTGAAGAGTGGTCATGGTGAAGGGCTTGGAAAGGATGTTAACAATCCGTTTTATATAGATGGAGTTTTATGAAATTTCATATACTAACAAAGAATGTTAATGCAGCTTCTAATGGAATTCAAAAAGTGAATATTAAGAAGCTTTAAATGTAAAAGCATGGGAAAATGAAAGGATGCTTCTTTATTTAAGCATCGAGGAGTCCAAGATGGGAATCAACCATTAATATTATCACACTGCACAACTTTTGTGCGGTTTTTTATTCATTTTCTTGGCCAGGAGAAGCTAAACAGCCTCAAGACAAAATAATCGATTAATGCATTTATTAGACTAATCTAGAAGATAATTAAATGGAACTGCCATTCCCGCCCAAAATCCCTCCCAAATCTCCCCTACACTTTTCTCTTTTACTATAGATATAGATTACTTAGAAACTGTAAAGAAACTGAAAAGAAACTAAAATATAACTGTAAAGTTATACACAATATAACTTAGAAACTGTAAAGAAACTAATATATATATATATATATATATATAGAGTGCTCTTCATGTCAGGCCGGCCTGACGGGCTGCCCCGTCCGGCCGAGCCCGTTTGGGCACCTTCCCGGTGGAATTTTTTGATGAAAATTTTTGAGCATGTTCTTCGTCAAGTCTAGTTTGTCCATACCAAATTTCAGCTCAAAATTCGATCGGGAAGGTCGTCAAATGATTTTTGCAAGTTAACTGGTCCGGAAAATACATATTCCGGACCAGTTAACTTGCAAAAATCATTTGACGATCTTCCCGATCGAATTTTGAGCTGAAATTTGGTATGAACAAACTAGACTTGATGAGGAACATGCTCAAAAAATTTCATCAAAAAATTCCACCGGGAAGGTGCCCAAACAGGCTCGGCCGGACGGGGCAGCCCGTCAGGCCGGCCTGACATGAAGTTTTCTCTATATATATATATATATATGGCATATAAAAAACACAAAGTACACATACACAAGAGCAACGTAAACCATCTGAAGGAAAACTAAAAGTATATATATGGCATATAAGGAACAAAAGAACAAAAAATTGTCATCACAAACCTTAAGCCTTGTTGGGTTTATGCCTGATTTATCAATAATGGCAATATACAAGCAGAGACCTACAAATAGCTTTACCTTTTCTTCATTGTTCAATTATCAATGATTGATTTACAATTAGAGATCTTTATGACACAATAAGTTCAACTACAACTTACAAGGAGAAATAAGGGTCATCTCTTTTACCTTCCAAGCAAGCCGTGTGATTCGTTCATACAAATACGATCTAGCAACTTGTACTTACTCCTCAAAAGCCAAAGCCAATTCAATTCCCAAGCATTTTTGTTGTAGTGAAAGAAGCAGGACCAATGAAGGTGAAAGCACCCAGGCCATTGCTACAAATTAAGAATCATTTCACACTCATTTGAGATAACAAATTTAAGCATGAAGTATAATAAATAACGGAGGTGCATACTATTACTGCTTCTGGAGGTGACCGCATGTCCTGTGACACATGGAAGTCATATATATGTACCAAATACAAGCTACAATTGGGAAAAGTAAAAACACTGTTTCTAGACCTAGCCAATTCATTCATTAGAAATGAGTTGATATATAAATAATCACGTATTCCAACTTAGACGAAATATTACACATAATATTAAAAGATGCAAAATGAAAAGCATCTATCATGTAAGATCTAAAACAGATCTTCAACTATATGAAAAAGTGACACACATATATTATACGGAGTATTAGCAAACTAAAACTTAACGAGCAGTTACACATAGATGTACCAAAACAAAGTTTCGGGAAAAAGTGTTTGAATTCACCTAAGCAAATGCAAATATTATAAAAGCATACACTTGAAAGCCAAATCCAAATATAATTTACCTATCAGACATTTCATCAAACACTTTATATACATGACAATTAACCATTCGTCCAAAGCGACTAGGAAGATGGAGAGGCACCTAAAACGGAGGCCATGGACTTTTCTTCAAGCTCAACCCCTGTTTCTAGACCTAGCCAATAAAGTTTTCTTTAATATTTAACTGAAAAAATGAAGTTTCATAAAACCAGCGAACAACAATAGGCCTTTAACAAGCCTTTATTTTGCTAGCCTTCTAAACATTCAAGCTTTGCATCCAGATTTAAGAGGTGGAAAAAGACGGTAGCTTGAGGAGAAAGAAAAACCACAACACCTCAAACCTAAGATTTCGTTCAATTTCTGAAAAAAGAATGGGAAAATATCTCATTGATAGGGGAAAATATTAAAGTTGTAATCGTAAAAGGAAGAAATAAATAGGAAATTTGAAGTCTCAACCTGAAAGAAGCCTTCGAAGTGCCAAAGGCTGGAGATGAGGCTGAGATGCCCAAAGACGTCGGGTCACTGAACACCTAGTTGCCGGAAAATGATATGTGTTGCTTCGCGAGGATGAAGCTTTGCTTAACCTCGCCGATTGCTTACTAGGAGACGGGGCACGCCAGAATGAAGATTTTGTAAGTCCTTAGTGGTTCGTATAATTCGACGGCGAGTGGTGACCTAAAAGATGAGGAAATAGCAAGAAATCAAATAATAATGAAGGATAAATCAAGAAGTACTGCGTTTATAACTCAAATCTGAAATTCGACGAGAACCGCTGAGGAAGAAGACATCTGCGGATCTGCTCGTGAAGGACTAGAAGGGTTAGGGTTCTAAGTTATAACAACGGAGAAAAGTGATAGTTTAATTGCAGAAAAAGTAAAATTATAAAAATTTAAATGTAATGTTACAAAAGGTTACAGAATGAAATGTGATATAAGCATACGAGTACAAATGAAATGTGAGATTTATATATTTTTTAAAATCTAAATGAAATAATAACTTGTGTTGGATCCAGTGTCACTATTATAGGCTGATGTAATACTGTCAAGCAATCGCTGATATATACTACCTCCGTCCCTTGAAACTTTGCCAAGTTTGACTGGCACGGAGATTAATAAAGTAAAAACTGTGTGGTTGAGGTTTGTGCAGAGGAGAGAGAATTAACTGGAACCACAAATTCTTTACTTTAAATAGAAAGTGGCAAAATTATTGGGACAACCAAAAAAGGAAAGTTGGCAAAGTTTTAAGGGACGGAGGGAGTAAGTGTCATAAATGTATCTGTGTCATCAAAGTGTCACTAGACAAGTGTCGCTGTAAGCTGTTTTTCTAGTAGTGTAATTAAATTATTATAAGTCATGTTTCACTTTTATTTTTTCCCCTGAATAATTATGAAATAAAAAATACTCATTTCGATGTAAATATAAATAATTTTTACGACTTTTTTATTTATAACATTTTTCGGTTAAAAAAACGAAATTGTTTAAGTGAAGTTCGATTATAGAATATGGATGTCATATGAAAGATCATAAAAATTTAAGAATTTTGATATATTTTTTGAAAAATTTAGATGACAAATAAAAAAGTTATATAAGTTTAAAAAAATTGGGATATAATGATGAAAGAGTGACACCAGCATGACATCGTTATCACCAAAAGAAAACATGCAACGGTGCCATTCTTTTTCTTTTTTCTTTATTTTTTCTTTTTTCCACTCTTCTAAACTCACCCTCTATATTTAATCCCCTCCATCCCCTTCTCCATTTTTAATACCCCTTTTAAACCACCACTACACACAATTAGGAGTCCAAAAATTCCATATTTAACATTTTGGACTCCTAATACCTCACAACTCCAAATGGTCTAAGGGGCTATTTGGATCTCATTCTTTAAACTGCTTCTGCTCCTTCAGGGAGTAGAAACAGAAGTTGGAGTGTTTGGATGAAAGTGCAGATGTACCTCTGATGTTCTAATTTACTCCTTGAATAAGTTTTTTAGAAGTAGAGATATCAGCTTCTAAAAATTGATTCAAATTAAACTTTTTCTTTAAAAAAGAATAGAAACAAAATCTATTCCAAACATCTCCTAAATGTGATTTCTGCTCTCCATCTCTACATCATACAGTGAATGAGAGCAGAGAAACACCAAGCGGCTGTAGTATCCCACGGCCCCACGGGTGATAATTTCGTGAGTTTTTAAATGATGTTTCAAAATATGCACTGTTTGAGATAGGTGAGAATCTGGAATCGGTTAAGAGATGAGTGAGCTGATGGTATTATCCAAACTCATCAATACACCCAACCGTAGTTTCAAAAAGGTGGACAATTGAGATGTTAGGATGTTAAAAAGCTGTCTAACACTCGCTCGAAGCATAGCGTAAGGGAGTCCCTTCCTTCAAGGTGGTAACCCTTATCAAATGGAAGACATGGAAGCGCAGAGCTTAACTGTAACTTCATGAGTCCCTCATCTTTATTTTATTCATTTTTCGTTTACTTTTCAATTTATTCGCATTCTTTTCATTAATTTGGCCTCGTAGTAGTATTCTGCCTATATCCTGTAGACTCGCCAATGAACTCGTTTAATCTTTCTCAGCTTACTTATACTCGTATAAGTTTTCTGATCTTTAGCGGTAAATCTAAGGAACGCAGATACTCCAGAATGAGAAGTAACTGTATGTTTGCGGGTTAATTGGTTGCTCCATAGTGTGAAAGTTTTATGAAGTGTTTAAAATTACCAGCTTCAATATCACAAGAATGTTAGTACAGATGGGGTAGCATTTGTGCTTCTTGAGATCTAAATGTTCTACTTCTAAGCTACCTACAAGTTTTTTGTTTTGGCCCAATTATATACGTTTGAGAATGTAGTTCTATATTTTAAACAAAATTGCAATTTGACATGTGTTGTCATTGAATAATTGGATTTATCAGGGTTCCATAGAAAGTCAAAATTGTGCCAGGCCAGAGATTCATGACTGTGTCATCAAGCTGGTGAAAATTTTTTCCTGGCTATACACATACACATCTATATGCAGTGTATTTGTATGATGTGAATGCCAATCATGCAGAGGGAGAATCCTCAAAGGCGGAAAAATGAAGTTTTTATCGGCTGTGGTGCTGGTTTCGGAGGCGATCGACCATTGGCAGCCCTAAAGTTGCTTCAGAGGGTAAAAGAATTAGACTATCTTGTATTGGAGTGTTTGGCAGAACGTACCCTTGCCGACCACCATCGGTCAATGAAGTCTGGTGGCAAGGGCTATGATCCCCGTAGTATGTTATCTTATCATTTATGGTGAATTAATTAAGTATTCTAGTAAAATTTCATTCCAACACAAATTCGTCTAGCATCATTTATGCAGTACTGGATTATATTTGCTCAACTTTTAGTAAGTTTGAGAGTTTGAGTAATTTACGCAGTATCTGAATGGATGCAATTGCTCTTACCCTTGGCTGTCGAGAGAGGAGTTTGCATTATTACCAACATGGGTGCAAGTGAGTTTCTCCTTTTCGTTTATGTTTTTTCGTTGTTTTTTAATAAAAGAATTTGCTTGGTAATCTGTGTTTTTGCAATTTCAATGAAGAGAATCCTTCCTGTGCTCGCGATGAGGTCTTGAGAGTTGCAAGCAGATTGGGCATCAACATCACTATCGGTTTGGCCTATCAGCATAGAGTCTTGAGATCAGGTCATTTCTCATGCACAGATGATAAAAAGGCTACAAATAAGAGGACTTAATATCTAGTATCTACTTGTGACTTCATTTTACCCCCTTTTTATGACTTGCAGGTTTAAAGGATGTTCTGAGAGATGATGATGCTGTAAGGTTTTCCTAACCCTTTGTGTACATCACACAATGTTCTGCACCTTTATTTTACTTTTGCACTGTTTTTACTCAGTGATATTGTGTAGTTGAGATGCATTAAGAAAGAAGGGATTAATATCAACCACACAATTCTTTCTGTATAAGAGAATGCGGACAAATTTCTGGGCTGATCCAAAAAGGAAAATGTGAAAAACATTTTGTAACAGAGGGGAACGCTTAAAATTTTCAGTAACTAAAGTAGCTTTTTCGAATATTTAGTTCAGTCAGATTGAGCATAATATCTTCGTTGCTATTATATTTCCATTTTAATTGTTGATTGTGTTCTTTTTATTTCTTTTTCAAAGCAAGGACAATGCTGAATTGCTGATATATTACTTGAAAACAGGAAAAGTTAACCCTTTTTGAGTGCCTGATTTTATGCAGGATGTTAGTACGTATCTGGGAGCAGCTCCCATTGTTGAGTGTCTTGAGAGATACGGACCAAATGTTGTTATTACTTCTCGAGTTGCAGATGCTTCCTTGTTCTTGGGTCCAATGGCATGAACTTGAATCGTATTTTTATAATAAGAAATTGCTCCAAACAGGAAAAATAAAAAAAAAAGACAAAGTGCACAAATAAGAGTAACAATGTTCACAAAGTAGGACTTTTTGATCCTATTCAAAGTATAAAGTTTTCCAATCAGGAGTGATGAGTCCTATTTTAGGAAGAAAACAATGGTGGTCTTATTTGTGCATTTTGTCTATGTTTTAGTCCTACTTAAGGAATTTGCTCTTTTAAAATCTTCCTTTCCCGAATCTCTGAACGTTACGTATAAACAGGTATATGAGTTGGGCTGGAATTGGGATGAAGTGAACCTGTTAGCCCAAGGTTCACTGGCTGGCCACCTGTTAGAATGTGGTTGTCAGCTCACTGGAGGATATTATATGCATCCAGGTTATATATTCATTAAGGAGTGCTCTTAAAAATCACCAGTAGGGTCTGTTAGGAATTTGAAAAATTCTCGTGAAAGAAATATGGAGGAAAATATAGAGGAAATTTGGAAATGAAGGAGAGGCAACGGAGAATAGTAAAAAGATTGCGCCAAATTTAGCACCCTCACTGTCCCAAAGTAATTTGTCTTTGAAAGGTGTTCACACATGATAAGTAACTATCGGATCCAGAACAAGGAAGAAACAAGAATTTAAGCAGAAGAAATCAATCAGTTTATTAATGGCAACAATCTGTTACAAACAGCCCAAAGATAGAGATAAGACTCTAACTTCCCAGTCAAGACATTCAGTCTGAACAAGCCTGCCTATCCAGCCGCAGGAACTACTATTTATAACCTTCCCTCAAAGAAGGCGGTTATTAGTTACTAACAGCTTTTAACTAATAACAACACTAGTCTATTTAGGCCTCCTCGAGTACACCTGTCCAAATCTGCCTCCATTAGCTAGACTAGTAGTCGGGTACCTATCAATACCCTCCCCTTGAAGACCCAACTTGTCCCCAAGTTGGAATTCTGGGAATTGTTCTTGAATGACTTGCACCTCTTCCCACGAATCTTCGAAATCAGGGAGATTCTTCCAATGAACTAGTATCTCCTTCTTCCCTTCTGGATTTATTCTGTATTTCTTCACAGTTTCAGGGCTTACTTGCAGTTCATATTCTTCGGTGAGGCAACTGGGAAGACCTTGAGAGATAGCACTCGGCTTTAACACCTTCTTTAATAGAGATATGTGGAATACAGGATGTACCCTACTTCCTGGAGGTAATTTAAGCCTGAAAGCTACTTCATTTAATTTTTCCACAATCTCATAGGGTCCATAGAACCTCGGGCTAAGTTTCTGATTGATCTTCTTCACAAGACTCCTCATCTTATAGGGCTGAATCTTTAGGAAGACCATGTCCCCCACTTCCAACTTCACTTCCCTTCTTTTCTTATTGGCCTGTTGCTTCATTAAATTCTGGGCTTTAGCTAAGTTTTCCTTCAACTCATCCAACATCTGATTTCTTTCATTAGTTAGCTTGGCCACCTCTTCAATTGCAGTCAAACTCACATCTCCTCTAATGATAGGTGGAGGCACTTGACCAAACAAAGCCTGATAGGGAGTACTCTTCAAGGAGCTGTGGTAATTTGTATTGAACCAATACTCAGCCCACGGTATCCATTTAACCCACTGCTTAGGTTTTGTCCCAGTAATGCACCTAAGATAGGTTTCCAAACATCGGTTAACCACTTCAGTTTGCCCATCACTCTCCGGATGGTAGGCAGTGCTATATTTGAGCTTGGTTCCAGCTAGCTTGAACAGTTCTGACCAAAATGAGCTTAGGAAAAGGCTGTCCCTGTCACTGACTATGGACCTGGGAAATCCATGAGTCTTAACCACCTCTTGAACAAACACTTCTGCCACACCTTTGGCATTAAAAGGATGTGCTAAAGGTATGAAATGAGCAAACTTTGTCAGTCTATCCACGATCACTAAGATTGTATCTTTACCATGTGATTTTGGTAAGCCACCAATGAAATCCATGCTAATATCAGTCCAAGCTTTATCTGGTATAGGTAAGGGCTGTAAAAGCCCTGCAGGCTTTAAAGCTTGGTACTTGTTTCTTTGACAAATATCACACCCTAAGATATAATCTTTGATGTCAGCCTTCATTCCTGCCCAAAAGAACAAGTTTGAAATCCTCTTCATTGTCCTGAAATACCCAGAATGTCCTACTGCTGTGTCATGGTATTCCTTAAGGATAGATAGTATTCTAGGACTCCCTTTGGGTAACACCAGTCTGTCTTTGTAATACAGTAAACCACCCTTCATTCTATACTCACTGAATTGGTCAGTTTGTGTTACCATCTTCTGTATCATCTCTCCATACTTGGGATCTTTCTGTATCTCATCTGCCAGTCCTTCCCATTCTGTGCAAGTAACTGTTGATAGGGCTGCATAAGTATACTTCCTTGAAAGAGCATCAGCTGCCTTGTTTTCTATCCCTGGTTTGTACTTTATGATGAAATTATATCCCATAAGTTTAGATATCCACCTTTGTTGTTCTTCACCCATCATTTTCTGCTCTGTCAAATATTTCAAACTCTTCTGATCCGTATGAACTTCAAACAACCTGCCAAGCAAATAAGGTCTCCACTTTTGTATAGCCAATACAATGGCCATCAACTCCTTCTCATAAACAGATTTAGTGAGATTTTTGGGTGAAAGCTCCTTACTCATATAAGCAATAGGGCCTCCTTCTTGCATAAGAACAGCACCCAACCCCTTCCCAGAAGCATCAGTCTCCAATACAAATGTCTTGTTGAAATCAGGGATTCTTAACACAGGTAAGGTAGTCATAGCAATCTTCAGATTCTGAAAAGCTTGATTGGCCACATCACTCCATCTAAAACTGTCCTTCTTCAGTAAAGCTGTCAAAGGAGCTGCAATTTTACTATACCCTTTTACAAACCTCCTGTAATACCCTGTTAGACCCAAAAACCCCCTCAATTCCTTTAGGTCTTTAGGTACTCCCCAACTCTGCATGGCTTCAATTTTCTCAGGATCAGCTGCTACACCATCTGCCGAGATGATATGGCCTAAATAGCTCAATTTCTCTTGGCCAAAGGAACACTTTTTTAAGTTAGCCACCAACTGATGTTCCCTTAATGCTTCCAGAATTAGTTTCAGATGTTCCAGATGTTCTTCCTTGGTCTTACTATATACCAGAATGTCATAAAAAAAAACTAGAGCAATCTTCCTCAACCAGGGCCTCAAAACAGTATTCATCAGTGATTGGAATGTAGAAGGTGCGTTTGTCAATCCAAAAGGCATAACCAGATATTCGTAGTGACCCTCATGGGTCCTAAAAGCAGTCTTATGAGTGTCTTCTGTCCTCATTCTAATCTGGTGGTAGCCAGATTTAAGATCTAGCTTAGAGAAAACTCTTGCTCCACCTAATTCATCAAGCAATTCCTCTATAACAGGAATAGGAAATTTATCGGGTATAGTAATCTTGTTAAGTGCCCTGTAATCCCCACAAAATCTCCAGCCCCCATCCTTCTTCTTGGCCAACAAGATTGGGCTACTATATGGGCTGTTACTGTGCTTGATAATCCCAGATTTTAGCATTTCAGCAATAATCTTCTCTATCTCATTCTTTTGGTCAAAAGAATATCTATAAGGTCTCAAGTTAGGAATCTGGGCTCCTTCCTTAATATTAATAGCATGATCACAACTTCGGGCAGGAGGAAAAGGTAATACAGAAGTGAAAACTTCAGGAAACTGAGCAATTACCTTTTTCCAGATGTCTACCTTGTCAACAATCTGCTCCCGTTGGTTCATATGGCCTTCATATGCCATTAAATACCCTTCTCCAGCTTGCTTGATGATATTAAACATGTTTTTCAGGGACACTTCCAACTGATTAGAAACTGAGTCTCCCTTAATTAAGCAAGTTTCTCCTGACTGTTGCCATTTAATGATTTGCTTCTTGAAGTTGACTTCCATGTCTCCAAGCCCAGTTAGCCATTCCATTCCTAGAACAATGTCAACACCTCCTAACCCCAACATATAATATGTTTGTTGAATGGAAACTCCCTGCACCTTCAGTCGCAATCCGGTACATTTGCCCATATTTGGAATGCAATCTCCATTTCCAATTTGTACCTTATACCCTTGAATAGGGTGATAAGGTATATTCCACCTTTCCACCAAGTCCTGTGATAGAAAATTGTGGGTGGCCCCACTATCAATTAGAACATTTACCATTGCTCCACCACCTTGCCATTCTGCCTCACCTCTTACTTTGAAAGTCTTCATGGAAGGTATCCCTTCCTTGCTAAGAATAGATAACTGCATAGTCTGATGTGCCATAGTTTTTGAGTAGACAGAGAGATCTTCATCAGATGTTCCAGATTCCTTGTCAGAAATTTCTTCTCCTTCCGAGTGTTCCATTAGAACCATTTTGTAATTCCTCATCTTACATACATGCCCTTTTCCCCAATTCTCACCACATTTAAAACACAAGCCCCTTTTACTCCTGTTTAGCAACTCTTCTTGAGACAGTCTAGTACCACTTCTATTGCTGTTTTGCTCCTTGCCCTCTTTGTTGACCTGATTGTCCTCAGCCCCTTTGGTTAAATGAATAGCACTGCCCTGATTAATTTTCCAGTTCTTTCCATCGCTCCAATTCTGAGCTCTATACTGTGCTTTCTTCCTTCCTTCATCTTTGTTCCTGACTATCATGGCCTCCACATTCTTATTTTCAATTAAGGTGGCTATATCCATGACCTTTGCTAATGTTTTGGCATGGTAAAGCTTTAATTCAGCCTTGATATCTCTCCTTAGTCCTTTCAAAAATATACTTCTCAGAACTTCCTCCGTAAGGTGGCCTTGAAGAGCTATGGCAGTTTCAAATTGATCCCGATATTCTAGAGTAGTTCCTTTCTGCTTCAAGTTGAATAATGGCCCCAATGGATCCTGTACCATATCCGGTTGGAAACGTTTGGCCAAGGCTTTAGTAAAACTGCTCCAATTCAGTCGTTGAGTCTGCCCTTCCCACCACTGAAACCAACTTAGCGCCTGATCTTCCATTGCTACTACCGCAGTATCAATTTTATCTTCCTCCTTCGTCTGGTTCAACCTGAAATACCTCTGCATCCGTACTAACCAGCCAAACACATCCTTGCCATTAAAAAGTGGTAAGTCAATTTTTCTGCCAACTGGAATTGGACGCCTGTAGTTGCGATGCTGCTCGCGGTTGATATGCGACATCGAATACTCTGACTGGTGATCGGAATCCTCTGAAGAATCATCGCCCTTCATATGTCGATGCCGAACTATATGATGCGACGATGTAGAAGGACGGGATCTGCTTCGCGATCTACTTCGCGATCGATCCGTCTTTTGTTTTCTCAAATCAGCAAATCCAGCTTGCATCATCGCCAGTAACTCCTCGTACCGTGCCTTCGATTCATCGATCTTAGCATCGATCTTCGCACCAAGTTCCTTCTGACCTCGATCCAAATTCTTTTCCAATTCTGCTATTCGTCCTTCCATTTTCTTCTTCCTCGTGCCAACCATTCACAGCTTCAACCTGTCTCTGATAGCTGATACCAATGATAAGTAACTATCGGATCCAGAACAAGGAAGAAACAAGAATTTAAGCAGAAGAAATCAATCAGTTTATTAATGGCAACAATCTGTTACAAACAGCCCAAAGATAGAGATAAGACTCTAACTTCCCAGTCAAGACATTCAGTCTGAACAAGCCTGCCTATCCAGCCGCAGGAACTACTATTTATAACCTTCCCTCAAAGAAGGCGGTTATTAGTTACTAACAGCTTTTAACTAATAACAACACTAGTCTATTTAGGCCTCCTCGAGTACACCTGTCCAAATCTGCCTCCATTAGCTAGACTAGTAGTCGGGTACCTATCAACACATTAAGAAACATTGCAAAATAACTATAATATCCCTATAAAACGTCCACATTTAATGCGTCTTTTTAAGGCACACAAGTATTTTATACTGAAATAACTAAATTGGAAATATTTGGATATCAGTACAATGTCTGCATTGAATTCCTAAAAGGAAAATGCTTGTAGGGCAATATGAATTGACTAAAATGACTATTAGTTTGGAGGAGAGGGAGTAAATATTTGTTCAAGCTCGATTTATTTTAATTGTTCTACTAATGACTAAGAATCTAAATGTATATAAACTTTAAAAACAAAAACCGTTCTTCCTCCACATTTTCCAAATTTAGTCCTAGCATAAAAAATCATTTTCTCTAGAACTTTCCCCCAACTTCCAAACATTCCTGGAAACCTATAAAGGTGGAATATGCAGCATCACTTTGGTCTTGGGTCATTCTTGTACATATATATCGAGTTACTAATGTGACATTTGTGTAGGAGACAAATACCGAGACATATCATTCCAAGATCTACTAAATTTGTCTCTCCCATTTGTGAGGGTTAAATATGATGGTTCAGTATGTGTGGCAAAGGCAGAAAATAGTGGCGGGCTACTAAACTCTAGCACTTGTGCGGAGCAGCTTCTCTATGAGGTTGGGGATCCTGGAAAATACATCACTCCTGATGTGGTAATTATTGTCTTCATTATCTTCTATGTACCATCTGGTTGGATAGCATATATGAATAACAAGGTTTGAATCCCTCGTCTTTCCTTCCGTACAGATTGTAGATTTCCAAGATGTTATATTTCAACCACTGTCGAAGAATAAAGTTCTCTGCATTGGAGCGAAACCATATATACAAGCAATACCTGATAAGTTGTTACTGCTGGCTTCAAAGGTACTTCAAATTTGTGCGCGAGAGTAATTGATATAATATAATACAGCAAAGGAGGCGGTGGTTCTCCCCACTTTTGCCCCTTGTTTGGTTAGGAATTTTGGAAATGGAAATCCTCCTTATTGGTGCTATTCCTATTAAAAATTCTTGTTCACTAGAGATGCAGTTGATGAATATTTAAGTGTTTACAAAAAAGCTGTATCTTCAAAAAAGAATAGTTAAGGGTCTTGGGTCTTCAAACTTTAAAAATCTGATAACATAATATTTCTTCTTTTTCTTCTAACCTCTGCAAAGGAGCTGTATGTCTGCTTTTTATTTGATCAACTATCATTGTGACCTCGCTATATCTTTGCATTTTATATTCGGTGTGTAAACAAGCCAATATGTCTTTTGCCATGTTCTGCAGGACCAGGGGTGGAAAGGCTGGGGAGAGATATCGTATGGGGGTTATGAGTGTGTAAAACGTGCTGAAGCTGCTGAATTCTTGGTGAGTAGTAGTGTGATGCATAGTTTTCCCACTTCCCTTGCCATTTTGTTCAAACTAATATATATGCTTCTTCTAAAACTACAACTATGATTACTACAAAAAAAGGTTAATGCCACAAAAAACTGTCGGGCCCCGTTTGGTAGTCTAATTCGGGTTATTCTGCTCATGCGCATAGTTAAGCAACAAGTAGGGCATTTGACTTATTTGGCTGAAGTGGATTTTACCAAACACTTCCTCTTATATACAGGAGCATATTCAGTCACTTGAATCAAACAAGCCTTTCCAAATTGGCTCCACAAAGAAAATTCTCTTCTGAAATGAAACAAATAATGAGCTTCATTTTTTTTGAGTGCTTTTGACTACAGTTTTATATACTATCAGGTAAAATCATGGATGGAAGAAATTTATCCAGGTGTCAACAAACATATCATTTCGTACATAATAGGTTTTGATAGCTTAAAAGCAATGAGCATGGACAATAAGGCGGCAAGACATTGTGAGGATATTAGACTTCGGATGGATGGCCTATTTGAGGAAGAGGAAATAGCTATACAGTTTACAAGAGAATTCACAGCTTTGTATACTAATGGCCCAGCTGGTGGTGGTGGTGTCAGGTCTGTCTAAATCACTTTACACACTACTGCATCTAGATTTAAATATACAAACCACCAGATGTTGTTTTAAAATCAGGCTATTAAATTTGCAGTACCGGTTGGAAGAAAGAGCTTATTCTGGAGAAAGAATTGGTATCTCACTGTCTCTCTCACAGACACACATACCTATGGTCAAATGCACATGCACTCCCTATGGAGAAGAATGTCACTTCTCTTTTCAAAATTGTTTCATCATCTATGAAGATTAGGTTGGGGGTGTCTTTTCTCAACCGTTTAGGATGTTTTCTTTTGGACTGAAATTTGCTGGTCTGGTCTGATTTGGGCTGGTCTGGTCTGGTAAACGTCTGGTCTCTGTGTATTTATAACTACGGAAGTCTGGTCTGATCTGGTCTGGTCTGGTCTGGGACTCAAAACAGTCCAAAAGAAAACATCCTTAGTTAGTATGACTCCATATTTCCAGTTTAAAAGTAATGATTGAGTACTACATGTCCATTTCATTTTCTAGTCCATAATTTTCTCAATGGGTTGTCAATGCATATTTTCGCTCGACTCCAAATCAATACCACCCCTTTTTTGCATGGCTGACCAATCAATAAAATATTAGAATATGCAGAATGAAGAAAAATAATAATCAAAAAAGCAAAAAAACTGAAAAGGAAGCATACATTTTGCAACTCTGATAGAGTTATGCATGGTTGATTTGGGTTCCAACCCAATGGAGGTATTGGCTGCGTTTGTTTTCTAGCGGGTTGATGTCTACCCGCTGCAAAATGCAGCGGTTTGTAGTTCAAATGAATTAGCGGATTGGGCAAAACGCTATTTACCAAACGGAGTCATTATATGATATAGGTTTAATTGTTTCTTGTGCAATTTATACAGATTTCTTTTATTATATCGTTTATGTCAATTATACAGACTGAACACCACCATTTTAGGTGAGTCGCGAAGATGTACAATGGGGCATCTCAGCGATGGACATGTGTATCACTACATCAAACGCACAGACCGATGACCTCCAGAAAGTTGTGCTTGCCAGCGATAAGCACTGTCATGAAACATTCTCCAAAGAAGAAGGCACAATCAGTGATTTTCGAGATCCACAGCTTAATTGCTGCTCTCCAGCTCCGTCTGGAACAATGACCCCCCTCTATGACATAGCCCACAGCAGGGCTGGTGATAAGGGGAATGACCTCAACTTCTCCCTTATCCCGCATTTCCCGGCAGATGTTGAAAGGCTAAAGATCGTTATAACTCCAGATTGGGTGAAGGAAGCTGTCTCACCACTTCTAAATCCCACGTCGTTTCCAACTTCAGATGATATTGAACTAAGAAACCAATGGGTCAGCGAGAATGTCAAGGTGGAGATCTATCAAGTCAGGGGTATTCATTCTCTGAATGTTGTAGTCCGTGACATCCTAGATGGTGGTGTCAACTGTTCACGAAGAATTGATAGACATGGAAAGACTGTATCAGATCTCATATTGTCCCAACATATCATGCTGCCTCCATGATCGGGGAAAGACAAAATACATTTATATCATGAATGTTTTTTTGTGCAAAGCATTATTTTAACATGACACTGGAACTCAGCGATTTGTTATTTCAGCTATTTGTTAATTCTGTGCAAGTAGTGCATGAAGGGTTCTGGACACGGTCTTGGTTCTGAATTTGGCCCGTGTAGGTATTGCTCCACCCCATTCCCAACCCCCAATTGTGTCTGGACATGAACCAGCCATTGGCCATATGCCAGACCAGGCTGCATTTGCAATTGCAACAGGGCTGCCACAAACATTATTTTCACATACCATCTCTTGGGTCATTCACCTCTTGATTTGAGTATGACCGTAGTACCATGGTTTGTAACAATCCTATCTATTTTTTATTGGCTAAAGGGTCAAATAGGTACATGAACTAACTTAAAGTGTTCAATTAGCCCCTTATATAGGAGGTTCTGCTCGGCCGTCGCCAATCGGGGCGGTTTCCGGTTGAATTTTTTGATAAAATTTTTTGAGCATCTTCTTCATTAAGTCTAGTTTACCCATATCAAATTTCAGCTAAAAATTAAATCGAGAAGACAGTCAAATGATTTTCCGAAATGTACTGTGCTGTTTAACTGCACAGTTATCTTCAAAAAATCATTTGACTGTCTTCCCGGATGAATTTTTAGATGAAATTTGGTATGGGTAAACTAGACTTAATGAAGAAGATGCTCAAAAAATTTCATCAAAAAATTCCACCGAGAACCACCCCAATTGGCGACGGCTGGGCAGAACCTCCTATATAAGGGGCTAATTGAACACTTTAAGTTAGTTCATGTACCTATTTGACCCTTTAGCCTTTTTTATTTGATCATTGTAACAAGTCTGATAATTATAGTAATTCAAGGAATCAACTCTTCATGCATCATCACTCTCTTATTGGGCAGAATATGGATGCTGGGCAGCATGCTTACAGATGACAGTAGGGATGGACCCGGAACCGGCCTGGCCCGGTCACTGTTTGAACCGGCCCGGCCCGGCCCGGCGGCCCGGCCCATGGGAGGTTCGGGTTGACCCAGCCCGGTGGCTACCGGTTCCGGGCCTGGGCCTTCATTTTGGTGAACCGGCCCGGCCGGTTCGGGCCCGGTCCGGGCCGGATTTATTTTTTTATTTTAATTTTTTTTTTTGAATTTTTTTTAAGTTTTTAGGTTAGATTGGTTATTTTGGGCCATTTGAGGTGGTTTGGGGTAGTGCTGGACTCGGGCCGGGCGGCCCGGCCCGGAACCGGCCCGGCCCGGTTACTGTTTGGCCCGGCCCGGCCCGGGGCCCGGTGGGTCCCTCGGTTCGGTTCGGCCCGGCCCGGCTGCTGGGCGGTTCGGGCCCGGGCCCAGGTTTTGGTGAACCGGCCCGGCCGGTTCGGGCCCGGTCCGGGCCGGATTTTAATTTTTTTTTTTTTGAATTTTTTTTAAGTTTTAGGTTGGATTAGGTATTTTGAGCCATTTGAGGTGGTTTGGGATGGTTTGGGGTTGAGGGGGAGGGGTAGGGGATTAAATAGGAGAACAAAAAAAAAAAAAAATTATTGGGCCGGTTTGGCCCGGCCCGGCCCGGAACCGGGACCGGAACCGGCCACCGGCGGTTCGGGCTCGGGTCTCCCTTTCCTGGCCCGAGGCCCGGCCGGGCCCGAACCGGCCCGAGTCCAGCCCTAGTTTGGGGTGGTTTGGGGTTGAGGGGGAGGGTGGGGGTGGATTAGAAAAACCCCAAAAAAAAAATTATATAGAACCGGGCCCGGCCCTGCCCGGCCCGAACCGGACCTGGGGTTACCCGGGCCGGTTCCGGGCCTCTCCTACCTTGAACCGAGGCCCGGCCGGTTCAAGGCCGGAACCGGGCCCGGCCCGGAACCTGTCCACCACTAGATGACAGTCGGCTTCCTCTTGCTGTTACGAAAAAACACACTTCCTCTTGCTGCTACCAAAAAACACACATTTCCATCTGTTTTTCCGTAAGAAAAATTCTTCCACCCACATCATAAAGGAACCCCCTTTGATCTGGCCCCGTGCCAATGCAATACACTCCACACGTCACTAAACACATAACAAGACACAAGCAAGCGAAACCAACTTTAACCATAAGCAGAAATCACAAATTCTATGCACAATTCACCTTCTATCTCCTCAATTAGTCTTTCTTTGGCAAACAACCCTTGCATGCACTGAAGTTTTGCCATTCTTATCATGGAATTACATTCAGTCCAACCACCCGACCCCTGCATCCACCTCTCCAACTAGACACTGGCAACAACTCCTAACTAAACAAATGTCCAGTAAATGGCTTGTTGTGTGCTAGCTGTGGTGAATTCCTTTGAGTTTTTTGTCCTCTATTTGGGTAACTAATCCTTCATATTGAGATCAAGGTTGTTAAAATCGTATTTTTGAATCGAATCGGTAGATGTTTTTAGAAATCGAATCGTAAAATCGAATCGCAAATCGTAAGATTTTACCAAACGTATGTTAATAATTATAAAATAAATAAATATTAAAATTAAGTTGCAAGTTAATGATAGTATATCATTTCATTACATAAAACTATACCTAAAATGTCAAAAGCAAGATTTATAAACTGTTTTTATAAGGTAAATGTATTGAATAATAACATTAAACATATGTAAAACATAAAAATAATTAAGTAACACAAGAATCCATTACTTTTATAAATAAACTATTCATATTATTATTATTGGAATTATGTATTAATTTGTAGTTGTTAATTTTAATAAATTTGAACCATTTTCATCAAAAACAACTTATTACGATTTTGCTACGACTTTGCTACGATTTTATACGATTCTACACGATTTTAGGATGATTTTTTTACGATTTTGTACGATTTTATGATTTTACGATTTTACCTGCGATTTGAATCGCTTTATTAATGTAGAATCGTAAAATCGTACGATTTTACGATTTAAATCGAGATTTTAACAACCTTGATTGAGATTGCTTACTGTGCATACTATGATAACATCTACCTTGATTTTGATTTAACTCTTACCTTTTCTTTGTGGTCTACTAGATATACGAACGCGGGTAGTTCGTGAGAGATTTGTCTGAGTATTCTGATATTTCATTTTGTTTTATTAAAAGGGGAAAATAATTAAAATACCCCAAACTTTGAAGAAGTGTGAGATAAACACCTCATACTTTCATATGTAATTTAAATACCCCAAACTTTATATAAAAAGTTATTTTAGTACCATGGCCATATATTATTTTTTTCAAAAATGTAAATTTATGATGTTAATTGCATAATTTAAAATAGCAAATTAAAAATTATGCAATTATATAGAGTGGTGTTAATTGTATCTTCATGAATGCTAAAATATTTTAATTTATGAAATTAACACCAAAAACTAACATATTTTGAAGAAATAATATATGACCATGGTGCTAAAATAACTTTTCATATAAAGTTTGGGGTATTTAAATTACATATGCAAGTTTGGGGTGCTTACCTCACACCCCTTCAAAGTTTGGGGTATTTTAATTATTTTTCCCTTATTAAAAATACAGAAATGACTACTTTCACCATCTACAGTCAAAAAGAAAATTACACTACTTTCATTATAATATGACTCGGCCCCTATCTTTTTGCATTTAATTTCAGAACCGGCACTCATGAGTTGTGACATTTAATTTGGGATAAGAGTCAGTTTGGTCCTCGAAGTTGCAAAAAAGGGGTCAAATAAGTCCTTATATAGAAGATTCTGTCCGGACGTGCCATTTGAGGTGGCTCCCGGTGGAATTTTTTGATGAAATTTTTTGAGCATCTTATTCATTAAGTCTAGTTTACTAATACCAAATTTCAGATAAAAATTCAATCGGGAATACATTCAAATGAATTCTTGAAGATAACTGTGCCGTTAAAAGTGTTGTTATCTTCAAGAATTCATTTGAATGTCTTCCCGATTGAATTTTTAGCTGAAATTTGGTATGAGTAAACTAGACTTAATGAATAAGATGCTCAAATGAATAAGAATTCATTTGAATGTCTTCCCGATTGAATTTTTAGCTGAAATTTGGTATGAGTAAACTAGACTTAATGAATAAGATGCTCAAAAAAATTATCACAAAATTCCACCGGGAGCCACCTCAAATGGCACGTCCGGACAGAATCTTCTATATAAGGACTTATTTGACGCCTTTTTTGCAACTTCGAGGACCAAACTCACTCTTTACTCCATTTAATTTCAACATCTACATGTGTTTGTTTACTTTACAAACTGCATCTTACGTTCTTTGTTATTAAGTAAAGAATAGTCAGCTTTTCCATATTGTTATTACCAGGTTCCCTAACACAAGTCAAGTCAACGTGCGGATAACACAGTGATTAACATTAGTTTTTCATGCCCAAGAATAGTCAACTTCGAAATTTCCAGCCATTCATTTACCAACACAAAGCTTCATAAACACCTCTTTCCATCATTCCTTAATGCTGGAATTCAAAACAAAACAGCAGAAACCATGAAGCCTTCATTATGCAGTCTTTCATTCTTCTGCGTTGCTTTCTTTCTTTTCCCAGTATTGTCTTCTTCAACAGTGCTGTTCCAGGTACTTATTCTTAATGATTGTTTTTTGCCTTGTTTTTAATTTTTCAGCAGAGTTTATTAGTGAATCTGTGAATGCCAATTCATTAACTCCGCGTACAGAGTTGGTTAATAATATAAAAATCAAGGATGTGAACATTATTTGGCTCATTAACTCGGACGTATTATTTGCACGGAAACATGAAAATTAGGAGAAAACGGTAAATGAGAAACATCATCTTTTACTCGAAAAACAACTGCTTGAAGAGTTTCCAAAGAATTTCTGTAGAGTTTCCGAAACGAAACATATTCTTTCTCGAGTTTCCGTGCTTTATAGCTCAAAACGCAGAAGTTAGTGAAGAATGAAGATGACATCCACAATTTTTAATGGCCGAAATAGCTGGAATGAAATATTTAAGTGTGTTTAAGTCATAGATTCTTCCTGATTCAGCTCATAGAGTTATTTCAATTTTCAACTCTCCGAGTCCAAGGTTTAACGATTTCAACCTACTTAGCCACTTAAAACCCTACCAATGGTCTCTTACGGAATATATTTAGTATAAATTACTGATTAAAGGTGGTAATTTGCACTGAAATCAAATACTGCTTTGATTTCAATCAGGGATTTACTTGGACGTCCATAAATCAACAAGGAGGATGGTGGAACTGGCTCTTAACCAAAGTCCCTGACTTAGCTAATGCCGGAGTCACTCATGTTTGGCTCCCACCAGCATCCAATTCCCGTGATGGGGACCCTCAAGGTATTTTCGAACTCTTAATCGTACTTTGGGGCTAATTATAAGATATATCCTGATATAGAGATCGTTTGATAACGCTAAATTTGTTGTGAAATGGTTGAGTCTATTTAGTGAAAAAATATATTTCAAATATATTTTACTCCCTCCGTCCCGCTATTAACTTCCTGTTTTCCTTTTTGGGCCGTCCCAAAATGATCTTCTCATTTCCTTAAATGGAAAGTTATCCTACATCAAAACAGTGTCAAACAGTGTCGAAATAGTGTACTCTACAGTAAAGTCAAATTTATTTCCTAAATATGTGTGTAGGTCAAAGTAGGAAGTTAATAGCGGGACAGAGGGAGTATTAATTAAATAAGGAAAAATTTATATAACAAAGAGTTATAATAGTCTTTCAATTCATTCACAAAAAGTAACTTCTTAATTAGTCTGATTAGTAAATGGTTTCAACATGTGAAAGTAAAAATTTAGTGGTTAGTAAAAGTCAGGGTTACCAATCATAATTGTAAATTTGTGTGTTTTTCTTTACGCATTATTATGTCCATTTCGTTATTATAAATGTTCATTTTTCATGATTATATCTTAC